TAGTATAGCGCTTCACCCATGAGTGATCCATGATACAATCTTGGTGATTTGGACTCTCCAAACTTGTGTTTTTCACACTCACACTAGTAGGTAGTGTAGCACTTCACACATGGATGTTTCTTGATGCAATCTTGGTGATTTGGTCTCTCCAAACTTGTGTTTTTCACACTCATACTAGTAGGTAGTGTAGCACTTCACCCATGAGTGATCCATGATACAATCTTGGTGATTTGGACTCTCCAAACTTATGTTTTCGACACTCACACTAGTAGGTAGTATAGCGCTTCTTTCATAGATGACCTTTGATTCAACTTTGGTGATCTTGCGTACTTAGACTCTTGTTTTCACTCACGTAATAGCACGTGATGTTCTGGATGATCTTCCATCTATGTGCATGTGCTTTCCATTTAGTTCTAGCATCTCATTGACATGCTCATACTTGGTGTGATGTTCCGGTTGATCTTCCCTTCATGTACATGTGTTTTTTCATTAGTCTAGCATCTCTTTGTCTTGTTCATACTTGGTATAATATTCTGGTTGATCTTCCCTTCATGTACATGTGCTTTTCATTAGTCTAACATCTCTTTGTCTTGTTCATACTTGGTGTGAAGTTCCGGTTGATCTTCTCTCTATATACATGTGCTTTCCATCTAGCTCTAGCATCTCTTTGTCTTGTTCATACTTGGTGTGATGTTCCGGATGAACTTCCCTTCATATGCATGTGTTTTTCATTAGTCTAGCATCTCTTTGTGTTGTTCATACTTGGTGTAATGTTCCGGATGATCTTCCCTCCATGTGCATGTGCTTTCCATCTAGTCTAGCATCTCTTTGTCTTGTTCATACTTGATGTGATGTTCCGGATGATCTTTCCCTTCATGTGCATGTGTTTTCCGTTAGCCTAAGCCACTCATTGTCATATTCCTACTTAGTGTAATGTTCCGGATGATCTTCCCTCTATGTGCATGTGCTTTCCATCTAGTTCTTGCATCTCCTTGTCATATTCCTACTTGGTGTAGTGTTCCGGATGATCTTCCCTCTATGTACATGTGCTTTTCATCTAGTCCTAGCATCTCCTTGTCATGTTCCTACTTGGTGTAATGTTCCAGATGATCTTTCTTTCATGTGCATGTGCTTTTCATTATTCTAGCATCTCTTTGTTTTGTTCATACTTGGTGTAATGTTCCAGATGATCTTCCCTTCATGTGCATGTGCTTTCCACTAGTCTAGTCTCTCATTGTCAAGATCGTGTTCCGGATCTTTGCTCAGTTGATCTCTTCTCTTTGTGCATGTACTTCCGCTAGTCTAGTCTTTCATTGACAAGTTCATAATCCGGAACCTTACTTTGTTGATCTCCTCTCTTTGTGCATGTGCTTCTACTAGTCTAACCTCTCTTTGTCAAGTTCATGTTCCGGATCTTTGCTTAGTTGATCTCTTCTCGTTGTGCATGTACTTTCCACTAGTCTGGTATTTCATTGTCAAGTTCATATTTTTATGTGAAATTCCGGATCTTTACTTCGTTGATCTCTACTCTTTGTGCATGTACTTTCCACTAGTCAAGTCTTTCATTGTCAAGATGTGTTCCGGATCTTTGCTCAGTTGATCTTTTCTCTTTGTGCATGTACTTCCACTAGTCTAGTCTTTCATTGACAAATTCATATTCCGGATCTTTACTTTGTTGATCTCCTCTCTTTGTGCATGTGCTTCCACTAGTCTAGCCTCTCTTTGTCAAGTTCATATGCCGGATCT